GTGTAATATATACACACACACACACACACACACACACACACACACACACATATATATATATATATATATATATATATATATATATATATATATGGATACATATGTGTGCGTGTTACAGTATATGTACAATACGTGTTACTTAGTACTGTTTAAATTGATATATGCCATATAGAAAAAGTGCAGCCTTGTGCATTTTCATCATTGTCATAGTTTGCATCAGAAAAATGTTACACTGTTAAATTCACATGACTGGACATTTTGACTTGCTTGTAAACAATGATACAACGAACTGCACTGACATATTCACTGACATAAATCCTTACTATTGAGAGATGAACTAAGGATTTTGAGGAAGTTGCAGGCTTTTGCAGGTAATCTATTGTGTAGTGCTGTTTGTATGAGTTGTATTGAGAAATGCAGTTACTATCTTGAAAATAAGGATGATTCAAGAAATGTACCAAAGTGTCATTGAAAAAACTGCAAGTTACCCTGCTCATGCCGTCAGTTTCTTGATATTTCTAGTGCCTGTTAATTGTAACATATACCTCACCTGTTCCTTGTTGCCCCGAGTCCTTAGTGATTGGTTGATTGGCTGTGGTTTTCACCTGTCCTTTGTCTTGTCTTGTTAGTAGTGTATTGAACTGACTGCTTTTGTTCTGTTCCTCAGTGATTCATTGAGGTTTTTACTACGTGTTAGCTGTGTGATTTTTACTTATAGTTTTCTTGTGTTAGTTGTTGTAGCTTCCAGTTCCTCCCCACTTTTGGTATTCTTGTTGCCAAAATTGCTCCCTGCCTTACTTTGTTTTACCTATCCCCCCCCCCCCTTGTTTTCTCCTTCTGTTCCATTTTCTTAAATAAACCCCAATTACTGAGACTTTGTATGTGGATCGTCCCTCCTTTGTCATACTATGCCATAACGCATGACTTAAACTGATAATGTAAGAAATAAGACAACTGTACATAATCATTTGCTTAAATATACCAAAGTACTTGCAATTTGTCCAAAAGAATGAGATATTCCTTTTATGATGTGCACAAGTGACTTGATGATGTGAAGGCTGGGCAAGTAGTTTTGAGAATTTAAATTCAGATCTAAGAAATGAACCAAAGCTTCTGAGAAAAACTGTATATAGGACGGGTGACACTCTATTGTCATGTTACCCAGCATCACCTGTTCCCTTCCTCCGAGCAAAGCGGGAAAGGAATGAAAGGCAGCCGATCAAGAGGCTGATTCCGGAAACTTTGCGGGGTCGTGACTGTGCCTCGTTCACCTCGGGGCGCAGCTGGGAGCCGTGTTTCCGTCTCGTCGGGGGTGGAGTGGAAGAAGCGATTAGCAGCCGAGCGCTCCCCGGGTCCCCGCTATCAATCTGGAAGTTTCCGGCGTGCGTCGGATCTCCCGCCACACGTGCATCAATCAGCGGGACGCATTCATCTGGCGAACGCGCGAGCTGCTGTCACGGTAAACACTCCGCTCCGCCGGCTCGCGCTCTTAAACGCCTCGTGAGAATTTCCCGGCGATTTAAGCGCATGCAAAAGCTGGGGATTACGTGTATGTTCTGAACGACAGTTTTAGACGTAAGCACCGGCTTGTAACACTCAAACGGAGGAAGAAATCAAGCAGACATATGAATCTCAGTATACCTATTTCTGTTGTTTGTTATAACTTGGATGAAATCTGTCAAATAATTAGGTTAACGGTGATGGACTGGCATCTCGTTCATGGTGTTCCCCAGCCTTCTGTCCTGTGCAGCCCAGATGGGCTCCAGATTTCCCTATGACCCAGACCTGAATGAGTGATGATAAAATGGATGGATGGATGGATGGGTAATTAAGTTAATTAATCGATAAATTAACCATATTTTTATTAAGATGCTTTGGGCAGCAGAGATCCTCATCAGTAATCATGACCTGGATTTTTCCTGTGAAAAAACTCAAACGTAGGATATTGGCCGGGACACCTTCATGACACCCAGCGTCCAAGTGATCAAACAGCCTGACCCCAAACATTCTGGTATCCCACAACAGCAGCCCTGAGCCCAGAGCCTGCTGGGAACCTGGCGTGGGACGGGCTGCGGGGCCGGCGATGGACTTACTGTTTTCCGTCTTGATGCAGAAGCGGTGCTTGAAGCCCTTGTGGGACTGGGAGCAGGTGACGACCTCGGGGTGGAAGCAGCCCACATCGATGGTTTTGCGGGTCGAGCCGACATTGCAGGCATAGCACTGTAGGCCTGTGACTGTAATGGAGGCGGGGGGGGGGGGGCTGTGTTATTTCTGCAATAAAAGGCGGTGCCCGCTCCGTTTCTTCCTGCATGTTTGTTTTTAGTCAAAGTTAACTGCAGGGCTTGGACATGACATTTAGTTTTCAAATTATCTGCTCACATTGTCCCCCCCCCCACCCATTTTCCTATTCACAATGTCCGCATGGGTAAAGCATGTGACCAATCCACAGGCAGCCCCCCACAAGAGCCGTGTACCGAAAACCAGGGCCACGCAAAGACACGATTCAGCCCCCGGAAAATTCTACAAAATTTACAGAAACCGATTTAGTACTCTTTGACTGTGAGTCTTTATACTCAGCTGGTTGGTTGAAATAAAATCCTGGTCTGGATTTCTGGACCTGAACTATCCACCTCTGAGAATAGGCCCCTCCTTTCTCCACACACACTCATGGGCTCCCTCTAATGTTTGAGCTTTTCTCCTTGTTGTTTAGTGGCCCTCCCGACGTCTATGGGACCAGCTGTGCACTTGGGGATTTTAAACCCCGAGCCGGTGGCTGTGTGCACCTCGCGATTTCCTGCCGTCGAGCGGATCGAAGGTGCGATCCCATCAGGTGTGAGCGTGTGGCCTCATGCGCGCCGATGTCCGACACGCTGAGATTACACAGCGCAGTGTGAAGAAAGGCACCGACTGTCCTGGGGTCTGCCATCTCTCTCTCTCCCTCTCTCTCGCTCTCTCTAGGAAGAACAAAGGGATGGAGGAAGAAGAGGAGGAGGAAGAGGAGATGCAGCCATCCGGCGAGTTCTGCTTCAGAACCAGAGGCAAATTAATCCTCCAAAATGCTCTTAGAAAAACAAATCAACGTGGGGCTGACGATGAAAAACAGTGTTCGGGTGGGAAGGGAGTTTTGGGATCCACCGGGGGGGTAAAAAGAGAATCACAGGGATGACAGATGGACAGCTGCTGATGTGCAACACCAGGCATGTGGAGAGTGGAGGCTGAGGGTGCCACTATCCTCCGGACTATTGGAAGCATCTCCCCAAGTGGCCCTTTCTGATAACCAATGATCACGCAAAATTTACCCTTAGAAAAGCCTCTGTGCAGCCCTCTTCACTGTGAAGCAGAAACGTGATACATCTGCCATGAAGCACGTCTTCCAGCTACTCGCAAACACATTAACTGAGTACGCGTCAGTTTAAGTGGTGCCAGGAAGTCAGGAAGACTGCATTTCGCTCCAGAAAACACCAACACCACTTTGTATATGGACTAACAGTATCTGATTAACGATATCTAATGCGTCTCCTGGTGGGTTTTTGCTGACTCTTCATACTGTCCTATACAGTCACGGTATGGACTGACGCCATAATAAGACGAAGGTTAATTTTGCGATATTCATACACTTGGTTCCCGCGGCTTCATTCCAGCCTTGAGGAAGCAGTGGCTAAGCTTGTCATCCTTTATTTCCTGACACTGTGTGATGTGCGCGGTCTGTGGCACCGGAGATTCAGCACATGCAGCCGTTTGTGCCGCTCTATTAGGAGAAAATCCCATTCCTGTCGTCCCCCACATCGGGGGGTGACCCCAGCCCCAGCGACTCATCGGGACTTGAACCCAGCTCCCAGCTACGCCCCTCACTTCAATTCAATGTAAAAATTCGTCCCAAAATAACAAGAGAGTCCATTCAAGCAAATCGATACATGCAATGTTCCTTTAATGGAGCCCCGGTCCCTGAATGGAAATAGTGCACTTTCATACTCTAGAGCCACAGAGAATAAAATAAGGCAGTCAGATGCATCCCCAACAGCATGAAGGATCCTGCATCTGCCAGGTCAGCCCAGTCTGAAAATCAATTCATTCACATTGCCCTGTTCTGGCTCATTAAGCCTGAATATCGTTCATTAAGCCATGAAGAAATTGGAGAGGTGACGGGAATTCGAAATCAAAGGAGAATCCACCCCCCCCCACCCCCCTGCCTCTCTCTATGCTTGACCAGCCGTAGAGTAGAACGAGAGGGTCGACGTGTAACAGAGCCTAAGTGTGAGCGATAATGACCATGTGTGCATGTAAACAGTCCATATTGCATTTAAAAAGTCAGACTCGATAGGAGAGCTTAATAATAGCTGCTTACACCTAGATCACATGTTTACAGGTGTGTATGAACGCACACACACACACGCACACACACACACGCAGTTCCCAGGGGAACACAGTGCCCCACACTTACCGTGCCAGACAAACAGTTCTGATGTCAGGATGAACCCGAAGCAGTAAGCCGGCCAGGTCCTCACGGTCATGGGTGCGGTGCTGGTGCCCAGGGGCCCGGGGCCGGGGGGAGGGGGAGAAGTGCGGCCTCTCGTTGACATCCAGCGCCTGCGGGAGCTGGGATTCCACTCCGGAGCTCCAGCGGGATAAGTAGGCAGCCGCGTTCCTGGGGAGAGCGCGAATGCTCTCGCTCGCTCTCTCCCGCGCACATGCAGGGCGGCGCTTTCGAGTCAAATCCTTGTGGGGGGGGGGGGGCAGGGGGCACGGCAATGGTGCACACCCGCGTGCTCCTCAGTGGCGAGGATCGATGGAGGAGTCACGGCACCCCCCCCAACATCTGTACACCACTCACTCCTCCTCCCCACATCCCCGAAGGAGGCAAAGAACGAACAATGCGATGCTTTGGCTCCTGGATAGGGGCAGGGTACTGGCGGGTTTGCGTTCAGGCTGATAATCCTCATTGCCCTCGGTTGTTGGCCATGGGGTTCAGTCAGGGTCTGGCCGTCATCGTCACGCTAACGGTGTGGAACGTCAAAAATCACAGCGCTTATTCAGTCACATCCGCCCCCCCTACCCCCAGCCACCGGACATCTCCCTGCGCTTGGAAACAGACATCCTGCTTCGCTTCTGGAAGGGAATTCAATCTAATCAAGATTTAAGGAGTAAATCCTTTCTTTTGAATCCCGAATGCTGGGGATGAGGCCAGCTTGTCTGTAAGCTTCCCGTCCGCTCCCTCCCTGGCAGTGGTGACATATGGTCTTGCTCGATGGATCCCGGCACGCGACTGTTCTTCTTTGCCAACCACATCGAGATGCACTTATAATACGGACGCACTGCAGACTGAGGCAGCACGGTGCCATTCCGCGAGTAAGAGGGGCCCAACACCCATTGGCTGGGGTTATACCCTCATACCTCTGGAGTCGAAGCTGCGATTTCCGCCCCCACCTGTGTGAAGCTCTGCACGCTCTGTGTGCGGATTTCCTCCAGCAGTCCAGAGAGCACATGGTCTATAAATTGCCCCCAGTGTGTTCCCCATAATAGACTTTTCTCCGCTGCCTCCACAAACCCCTGCTGGCAGGCAGTTAGGGAATATGGAAACCGGCACATTTCACATATGCACAGCTTGGGTGGGGGGTGTGCTTTGGGGTTTGTAGCTGGATTTAAGGTGCTTCTTCCCCCGAGTGGCTGGTTACCAGTCCTATGTCACTGGTCAGTAGGGTTGGGAGCAGAAGCATATACTGGGGAGGGGTCACAGGGTCAGTGGCCCCAGCTGAAAGCGGATTGGTGCCTGGAGTGCCCACTCGCCTGTCACTCACCAATTTCAAACGTGTCATTGGCTAACAATAAGGTTGGCACCTCTGTATGAATTATAGCCCCTCATATGCTTCACCAAATCTGGCCCTAGTCAGAGGCGGCAGTCCTCTCAGTCCCCTCAGTCCTCTCAGTCCCCTCAGTCCTCTCAGTCCCCTCAGTCCCCTCAGTCCTCTCAGTCCCCTCAGTCCTCTCAGTCCCCTCAGTCC